TCTGTTGTTACTTTGGGTTTCTTTTTTTACTTTTTGGGGCACGGGATTTGAGGGCCGTTAATTATTTTTCTCTTCGCAGAAACATCTGAAGAAGCCGAACCAAGAACAACTAAAACGGAGAGAATTTATTAATAAACTATCTTTTTTTGAACCCTCATTTTCGTCTCGTGTCCTCAAATATGTTGTGTCCTTGGTGGGCGTAACATATTTTTGGGGGCTTGTCAAAACAAAGTTTGCTTTTTTTGTCCTCCAAATATGTTGTGTCCTTGGTGGACGTAACATATTTTTGGGGGCTTGTCAAAACAAAGTTTGCCTTTAGTGCCCTCCGATATGTTGTGTCCTTGGTGGACGTAACATATTTTTGGGGGCTTGTCAAAACAAAGTTTGCCTTTAGTGCCCTCCGATATGTTGTGTCCTTGGTGGACGTAGCATATTTTTGGGGGCTTGTCTTAACGACTTTACTTTGTTTAAATATTGCCTTTCGTGTACCCGAATATGTTGTGTCCTTGGTGGACGTGACATATTTTTGGGGGCTTGTTTAAACAAAGTGTGCCTTTTAGAGACAGGTCGTGTCCTACGGTTGGTTCTTGTTTGTTGGCGGTTGTGCTGGGTTTGTGTGTATTTTTGCGCAGCTGACGCGCGTTGCGCTGATTAGTTAGAGCATTCGGTTCTGGTGGTGCTGTAGCTTTGTTTGTGCAGAGGTGTTCCTGATTTGGTGTGGCTTGATTCCAGGGGTAAACATGGAGTTTGACCTGGATGAGTTTGTTCGAGGGCCCACATTGGACACTTTGCATAAATGCACAAAGGATCTGTTGCTGAACGTGCGCCCGCTCTGCATAACTCTATCAGTTGTGTTTCCAGTGAACGAGATGACGCAGGTGTCGGGGCAGCTGCAGATGCACGGGAAGCCGAGCATTTTGAGGTTATTGTGGATTGGACGATTTGGCTCTGGTGTTTTTGTGGTTTTGTGTGGCTAGATTCCAGGGGTGGACATGGGGTTTGACCCGGATGAGTTTGCTCGAGGAGCCACATTAGATGTCTTTAGTTAGTGCACGAAGGATATTTTTCCTGCTGCAGTTTTAACACAGAGTCTTGATGAATCGCCGAATAAAACTTCACTTGCAGCTGACCCGTTTCGTTTATAGGAACTTCAGGTCAAATTTGGACAGCTGGCTTTGATGGAGAAGGGGCTGTTTTTGGAGGAATGCAGACTGGAGTTGGTGGAACGGCTGTGGTTGCTGCGCTGGGTGGCATTGAGGGCACATTGGATCATGTCTTGGATGTGAAAGCTTTTAACGTGTTTTTTCTTGTAGGAAGAGGGGACAACGTAGTGGCTGACGCACTCTCCTGACTCTAGTCCCGCTTTCCTTTTAACGTGTTTTTATTATGAGAAGAGAGGACAATGTAGTGGCCGATGCACACTCACGACTCTAGTCCCGCTTTCTTTTTTTTCTCTGAATGGGTTGAGTTTTTTCAGACCCCATTCAGAGTCTTTGGGTGGGGGTGTTATGTGCTTCGGGCACATTATGATTTTTGTTCATTTCTTTTCTTTGTTTTCTTATAAACTTTAGTTGAAGGATCTTTTGTTAATATATTTTAGGATTCTTTTAGTAAATTAATTATGTTAATTTGTGGTGCTGTCGTCCGCCTATAGGCTGGCCTTCAGCACGTTAAGGCGCGTTCCTTTCCAACCTCATTTTTGGACGCCGCTTTCCACCTGCTTCCATTTGCTCCATCGTGCGCGGTGCGCACTTGTCTTGTCGCTGCGGCCTGCAGCGGACGTTCCAGCCTGCCATGTGGTTTTGTTAACTTTTCTTACTTTTTTCTCGAGGTTTTGGCCTGGCGGGACCGGTAGTCCTGTTTTCGATTTTTCTTTTGCTTAGGTTGTTTTTTGTCTTTAGTCCGGTATCAGTAGGGGCTTCGACGGCCCTGTATAGGGTTGGCCCCCTGCTGTACCGTTTTATTCTGTTTGATCGGCCTGCCGGGTCCAACTTTCTGTTGTTACTTTGGGTTTCTTTTTTTACTTTTTGGGGCACGGGATTTGAGGGCCGTTAATTATTTTTCTCTTCGCAGAAACATCTGAAGAAGCCGAACCAAGAACAACTAAAACGGAGAGAATTTATTAATAAACTATCTTTTTTTGAACCCTCATTTTCGTCTCGTGTCCTCAAATATGTTGTGTCCTTGGTGGGCGTAACAGTGACACATAAGTTACCTGCTCCAGACCAGGCTAAGAGCCAGGTTTAAGTAATCCTGATGCCTTAGAAGAATAAACTGCATAAAGGAGGGTTTCTACAATAGAAGCACATTAAGGTGATTTTGTTAACAGAAAATCCTAACTTTAAGGTCAGATTGAGTTATGGTTAAGCATGTCAAATACTTACATTTATCATGTGCACTGAATAATCTGAACACCTCTTAATGCTTCAGATGATCTGTGATGCTGACTGCATCTTCAGCAACAGGAAGGCAAAGTGGCCTGCATCCTTCTGTGAGTCCAAAACCTGTCTCTCTCTGGTGTCCTTCAAACACAGGACTGTTGTTGTATACATTAAGGGCTGGATTTATGCAGGAATTAATTTTGGGAATGATGGGCCACAATTAAATATGTGTGAAGGCACTGTCTAATTAAATATTTTTTAATGGCACTGTCTAAGTCATTTGTGCAAGATTTCAATATTATAGTCAACAATTTATCAAGGTATTTCAATTCTGCAATATGTTCATATATTTCAACTTGAACTGCTGTGAGTTTGCTCTGGTCCAGTCATATTATTTCTGTATAAATATGGATGTGTATTAGAATGTGTAACAAAAAATACAATCATCAACTGAGATATTGTGATAGTGTTTATTTCAAAGTGTATCAAAATTAATGAATCCATAACATTGTAATCATTATGAACACCTCCATACCCTTTAAAAAAATAAATCATGGATAAATAATTCAATTATTCTCAAATGAACTAAAAAAAATGTGGATTTTGAGAAATCAAATTTTAATTTTTTAAGTATGAATATACAAAATAAGAATTGACTGCAAAATTACTAGAACTGTGTACCTGGGATATTAAACAACTAACAAATGTGAGTTTTGTGTTTTTTAGGATGTTTCCATCCCTGACTTTGCAGCAATTGTGTACAATGGGACACATAGAGATGCATAATATTCTTTGCATGATATTCTTTGCATAGATAGATATTAGATAGTAGATATTAGCTTCAAGACTGTAAATCTTCACACAGCTAAGATGTTTATGTTATTTTCTGCTTTCACAGCTCCCTGTTGTATTGATCACTTTTAAGCCACAATTTCATGTTCTGCAGCCTAGATAGTCTCTGACCATCCCCTTGTCAGATCTCTGGTTACTCTTTGACTGATTGCAGTTATGCAACAGGATTGATAAGAAAACACGAAGGAAAAACAATAAATTGGATTTTAACTATGTGGTCAGGTAGGAGCTTATCCTGAACTAATGCTTTGAAAACCAAGTTCATCTGGTAAAGAAAAACTGCTTCTGCAGACTGAACACCTGGGTATTTTTTTTACATGTCAGGGGCTGTTTGATTTAAAATTGAAAAATTAGATAAGAGAGGAAAGAGAAATGTAGAATCAACAAAAACTAGAAGTAGGAATGTGACTGAGTGTGTTGTAACTTCCCATGTTAAAACACTAGAGGGCAGTAAAACTCTTAACTGTTTGATCAGCAGCATCTACAATTGATGGAATAAATGAAAACATGCTTTTTATGCTTATTGACCTATATGATGAACACCAATTAGATAATTGAAGAGTCGTTGTAAGCTTTCTGGAGATAACATGTGTTGTGAATTGGTGCTTTATAAAGGAGATTTAAATTAAATTAATTAATTGAACAGATTTTCTTTTTTTCTTAACATTACCAAAACACGATGACATAATTCCTCTTTAGATCAAACAATTATGTCAAAAGAGTTGAAAGTTCTTTTCATGCATCTTTTTATACACAAAAGGGTAGACCAGCATCTATTGTGATCAAGTTCACTGTAGTCACATTGTTGCAGGTATAGCATTTTCCCCAAAGACATGCTGTCAGTATGATAGGAGTTTATATAAATTTAGCAAAACAAAGTGTGACATTTACTTATAGAGATGAAGAAAATCCCTCAGAGTGGACTAAATATCAAGGCAGTCAATCCGTCAGATTTTTTTAGCAAAATTTTGCTTCGAGAACCATAACAGAACTTGTACAAGTTCTGGATACACATTCAGTCGCCACAGCCTGCACTTCATTAAACAGGCAGAAGCTTAGGGCTATTTGAAAAAAAATCCTGATTCCAAAAGATTTTTTTTTCTTTTTTAAATTCTAGTTATTTTCCCATGTTGGCATTACACAATTATTCTTTTTAATCAATACTTTTTCCCTTTTTTTTTTTTGGGGGGGGGGGGTACATAAAGTTGAAGATGACTTTATGGTAAACAAATCTTATAGATGAAACTATTTAAGTGTTACTGGGAGGTTTGCCATACACTTGCAGTTTTTTTTTCACTAACTTTAAATACTGTTATTTTCAACACCTGGCATAAAGTTTTTTTTTCTAAATCAAACATTTTTAAGCTATTAAGTATCTTTATAAGGTAGCATATTTATAGTAGAAACATGACTATAAATCATAATATTTGTAATCAATAGCTTATTTAACAAAAGTAAAAAAAAATAAAGTAACATAAGTTTGACAGTGCTTCTGTAATGTAGAAGTAACTATGGGATTAGCTGAGGGCAAACATACAAACGCAGAGATGGAGACATTTTCCTCATCAAATAATTATAACCAACATTTAGCCAACTTGTTTAATTTGCAATTTTCCATATAAGACAGATTTTTTTTGTATTTTTAGATGACGCTATCACTAATGGTAAAGGGTGGTTTGATTTTATGCAAACTCTCTGGGCACCTCCTGCCTCTGGGTTATTAATACCTCATGTCAACTGAAAGTAAGATCAGTTCCAAAGCACAACATGTCTCCTGTAGCTATTTTGCTGCTGCTGGCAGCTGGATCATGTAAGTAACTCTGCATCAGTTGAGACTAACAGAGTTATTTTAACAGTGCTGGAAAACATTGTCCCTTTTTTTTGTACCAGTAGGTGTGAAATCTGAAAAGCTGACACAGCCAGACTCAGTCAATGTACAGCCAGGTCAGCGACTTACCATCAGCTGTCAGGTCTCTTATTCTGTAACAAGCTACTGGACTGGATGGATCCGACAGGCTGCAGGCAAAGGACTGGAGTGGATAGGATGCAGAGTTGGCTCAAGTACATCCTACAAAGATTCACTAAAAAATAAGTTCAGCATCGACATAGACTCTTCCAGAAACACAGCAACTCTTAATGGACAAAACATGCAGCCTGAAGACACTGCTGTGTATTACTGTGCGAGAGACCACAATAACATAAAACATCAGTCAGCCAGAACAAAAACCCCCTAAGGTCCTAAAATACATAGAGGACTCCTCACACAAGGAATATAAAGACAAAGACGTCAGACAGAATTTGGGCAGCCTATGTGGCTGCCCAGGAGCCTGATATTTACCCTAGTGAAAGTCTGAAAGAACTCTATGATTGTACTTACTGTTAACAAGTGGATACAACTGCTGGAAAAAACAAGAAAAGCTAAGAAAAAAAGTGCAGTTTAGAAATGTATCCTGCTCAGCTAGTAGAAACCTTCACAGTGTGTATGGACACTTGCCACAGTTTGTCTCAAAGGTAGAAACAACAGTTAGTCTTCCCCATAACCCAAAGGCAAAGAGATGCGGCCCTATTGCCCGCCAGGGTAAACTCCAACACAAGATGGCTAAGCTAAGGGGAAACAAGCAGACCCACCGCAGAACTCTGCCTGTCCCAGTGGGTAACTCCAGAGTAGAAAAGAGTCCATCCTCTTTTCAGTAACTGAGTTCCAAAGCCTAGGCTATGTTTTGAGGTGAGCCCAACTATTTTTCTAGCCAGTATCGCTCCACCTCCTGCACAAGTTCCGGCACCTTCCCTCCCTGTGATGTTACAATTCCATGTACCAGAGCCAAGTCACCAAGGCCCCTGCCTTTTGACTGCCACCTACTCTTCCTTGCTTATCTGAGGAACTATTTTGACAGCTGTGGCAGGCAGACTGAGTACTTTGACACACTCAGTAAAGTAGGATGATACTTCTGGATAATCCGGGGATGGTTGTTTAAAAGCAGCAGTTTAGGGATTTAATGGTTGTTAGAAAATATTTGAAAATAGAGGTTCCATAGATTGATCATGGTGGTACTGTACAATGACTCGATGACCAACGGTTGGCTGTAAGTCCTAACTTAGGCATCAGTTTTCTCCAGACCACCTTCCAGGACCACCTGTGCTTGTAATCTCTTGTGTTGGAGATTGGGTATCCTTGTGTTTTTGTATGCTTAAAAAATAAATTATTATTAATGCAACCTCGTTGACCAACTCTTGTTTTAATAGACTTGTTAACATGTAATTATGGAATGCAGTACTTTATTATATATTGATTCTAACCTTTGTAACTTAATTCCTCCTACAAATGAAAACTTGTGAAAAGATAAAGCATTTCCTGGCAATAAATGAAAATACATACAGTTTGTCTCATACAAAAAAACCCAAAACATTAATATAAATTGTATTTTGACTCATGACAGAGCATTGAAAGCAAAAGAGCAAGCTTTGTTGACAAATTATCTAAAAAAATATGTATTGCTTTAAAATCTTTAGACTGACAAGAATAACCTCCATGCATAATCATACTTCCAACAATCAAAGTCATTTAAAAAGGTATTACTGACATCTGGTGGCGGCTCTATCTAAGCAGTTTATTCTGTGGTTAAAACCTTTATACACCTTTTATGGACGTCCATTTTTACAGCATATATAAAATATAAGTTAAAAGAAAGTATATGTGATGTTTCCATATTAAAGTTTTCTTTTTTACTGTATTTGTTGGTTTTATGGCCATCTAATGGTTTTAATTTATTTCAACATTTATCTGAAGTAATTTGATGTAAAAAAAAAAGTTTATATTGACCAGTTATTATTTTGTAATCATATGATTTCTTTGTATTCTTTATTGCAATTTAGTATTTAGATAGCAGGTCCTACACCCAACGTCCATCCTGACTAAAAATCAAGATAATAACCAAGTACTTTTTATCATTTACTTGAGTCGTTTCTTGAATGATAAGTTTTTACTTTAACTCTATCAAATTAAAGTAGTGCTACTCTTACTTAAGTAATTTATTATTATTTTTTTTTTGTATTATACTCAACTCTTACTATATCCTCAGAAATACACTGCAGTGTTGTGGTAATTCAATTACCCATTTTTCCAGCATAGTTAAAGAACAGAGGTATCGTTATACAGATGCATAATTAAAGAACAGATGGAAGCTACCTATGTGCATTATGAAAAAAAATATTGTCTCTATTTTATATTTTCAGTCAACATGCTATATAAAACAACAGAGCCTACCCAGACATTTCCCAGCAAGTAATTGTTGAAAAGGTAAACATATCAAGAATTGGCATTTTACTGTTTGAATATTGTCAGAAAATATTTTATTATATAAAATATATATATAACATATATAAATATAAAACTATTTGTTATAAAAGCTGTAAAGAGTTCTTACTGAAGAAAATAAAATTTTGTTTTTTGTCACTTACCTCCCAATTGTGGCAGACCCGCCTTCAGTGACAAAGAGTGTTATATTTTTGTGCTAGAGTTACTCGTGGTGATTATTACGGCCACAATGAAACACACCCATACAAAAACCTTGGAGGAATAGAAATAGATTTCCTATATCTAAATTTACTTCTGAATATCTGCTCACTAATTTCCAACCTTATTATGATTCCGGACAATATCCCTGCTTTTCATTTATAATCACTGCTTTAAAACATCCAAAAAAATTCGACTAGTTATAGGAAAGCTTTACATTTTCTCAGATTGATAAGCAGTTTAAAAATTAAAAAAAATTTGGAAAACCAACTATTTTCTCACAGATGTAAAATGTAATAGGGAGTCAGTAAGAAATATGCAAGAGAACAACAAAAGAAATAGTACAGTGAATAAGTACAGCAAAATATTACAGTAATTGTACGAAAAACTATGACACATGTACTAGTTTTGTAATATATTAGAACTTCAAGAACTTCAATGTTTTAACAATTCAATAATGAATAAATTGGGGAAGTTACAGACACGACGAACAGAAGCCAGAACAAGAACAACAAAATAATCAAGCAAGAAAATAAAGAAAGAAGCAAGTTCAAATACTCTAAAGGTATACATGCAACATTGGGAACAGGTAAATGCAGTCAAATGAATGAAGGTAGCTAAGTGGTAAGCAAGGCTGTAGGACTAATTAGAACAGACACATTAGAGCATAAAAAAATTCCTGTTCCTATATTACTATAGGCAAAGTAAATAAACAAAGTTCAAATATAGAGCATTGTAATTTCACCAAACACAACATAAGAGCAATGCTGCAGACTGTTGAAAATATGATTTATTTCTCTTTATAGGGTATAACCAAAATCAGTTAACATAGACTATCAGAAAAAAACTGTAGCAAAACCACCATGAATAAAGAAAATAAACAAATACAAATACTGTAATATCAGCACAGTTTAATAGTACTGGAAAGTTAAAAAAAACAAGTACTGGAGAGTAAGAAAACACAAAATAAATCCTGAATAATATATATACTTCAGATCTCTTTTCTTAGCTGGATCTGGGCGGATCATTTCATTTCATAATTTCATTTCACGGGCAAGGAAACGCAGGTAGAACCATCCTGATCCATCCTTGCACAGCTGCAGCATTGATTAGGTCAAAAGCCTCCTCCATAGCCTGAAATGGAGAATATGTTAAAAAGTAGAGTACTGTAAACTGTGGATGTTAACCAGTCCTGCACCAGAGCACAGCGGTGGAGTTACATACTGTCCCATAAGACAATGCATTTTCATCTGGAACAATATGTGTTATAGATATTATACAGTGAATGAAGATGTAAAAACAACAACCTGATATTTAACATCACAACATTCTGATACTGCATCTGTTTGATCTCTCCGAATTCTGCTCAAAACGCACCTTAGAAAGTTGTTTTATATTAACTTCATATCTTTCTAGCATGCATGCTAATGTTATCAGACAGATCTCAGGGGCATTATTGAAGATGTAATTGTCACCAGTAATATTGGGCTGAAGGTCGCTGAGCCTGACGGCATAACTGCCAAAAAGGTTGATATGGTGCATATAGTGCAATAAGCCTTGGATTACTTTGACTATAACTTCTTGTCAAATTCTCTTTATGACAGATGCCAATCTAGAAAGATTTTGCTTAACTGTTAGTCCAGACTCTCTCAACGTCATTCCATGATTTATGACATCACAAAGATCAACTAGCATTGCATAAATTTATTTTACAAGTTTGGTGTTCGGCGTTCTACTGTTCCTTGTTCTGGCATTCCTTGAACTCTACCTGCTATTTGTCCAAAATGGATTCCGCCTTCTTACATCAAACTCTCTCTTCTACATCAAACTTCTTCTTCTGTTTAAGTTAAAAGGAGATTAACTCGACTGCTGCATTAACTGCTAAAACTTGAATGGTTTGTCAACAATAAAGAATCATGTGTTTGCAAACTTGATGTGTGTCTTTAGCAAACTGGCTCATGGGTTGGGATTTGTCAATCAGTGCTCTGGCAATGGAAAGAAGAGACATCATGATACACTTCTGTTTTTAATGTAAACAAGTGTGTTTAGTATTTTACAAATCACTGTTTGTATTGTTTAGCCAAATAAGTGTGTTGTGAATATAGTGGTAAGAATCTGATAGAGTGTTTCGCTTCATGAGTGGAAGGTGTTGGTTATGGTCACAAGGTTCTTCCATGTCCTGTAAGAGGGGAACCCCAGCCTGGCTGGAGATCATAAACCTCCAACAGCCACGATGAGACACCAGAGTAGAGGAATGGGGTGACTCATATGATAAGGATCTAGTGCATTTGGTCCTTAATTGTGCCAAGGTTTGCAATTGGTCAAAATTGCAAGGACATTATCTGTGTTGTAAAGACCCATATTGACATGATGACATAGGAATCTTTTCTTTGAAATGGCGCTAAAAAGGGTGATGTTAACTCTCCACGTATTCTGCCTCTCACCCTCATGCTTATTCCTCTGTCTTGTTCTGTTTTGATAGAAAGCAGGCCAGCCCTACTCCTACATTTTTTAGTGCTTAAAACAGATTTTTATATCTACATAAAGAAATCATGTGTTTGCACACCAGGTATGTGTCTTTAATCATCTGGCTCCAGGATATAGCACTTCTATAGCACTTTGAGAATCTGATTGACTGTTTTGAACCTTAAATATAGGGTATTTACA